GCATTTTTGGCTAAGAAACATATCTTATTTATTCAACTTTAGACTTTTGATGTAGATATGTTTATTTCAAGAAAATAATAATAGAAAATTACTCTTATCAAAACTTTCATAATTCCTATTAAAATATTACTATTTACATAACACGTGTAATATTATAAGTTAATTTTTTATATAAAAATTATTAAAAAAGTTAAGATTTAAAAGTGTTAGGTTTTTCTACAAATTTATATCAAAGAGTCTTGTATTTGGCTACAATGCCTTATTTAAGAATAATATATATAATAATATTAAACTTATATGACTCAAGTTTAAATGGATTTGACTGTAATACCAGACTAAATAGTCTTGGATGTGAGTCTAGCTGCAAGGTTTTGTCATAAAAATATGATAATTAAATAGATTAATTAAAAAAATAAAGAAAAAAAAAGAAAAAAAAACCAATAGAAAGGAAAAAACACTAATGAAGAAAAACAAATCTGACTTAATTGTGTTAACCCTTCAAAGTAGGTTAATATGTCAAACTTTGGATTCGTATCGTGAAAGTTTGATAACTAAATAAGAAAAAAATAATTGACGGGTTACCTAGAATTAATTAGGCTAACTCGTTAAATCAGGTTAACCCGTAAAAAAAAAGGGCAAAAACAACAAAAAGAAATTTTTTTTCTCTAATTAGTCAAACCTAAGATAACTAAATAGAAAAAAGGCATCAACAATAACTAAATAGAAAAAAAATCATATTAATGAACTAAATTAAATAAAAAAATATTAAATCAAAATAAAAAATAACAGAAGAAAACCTATAAGAAGAAAAAAACTAATGAAAAAAATCTAAATTATCTGGGTTAACCCGTCAAATTTAAGATCCGTGTCATAAAAATTTGATAAAAAATAAAAAATATTTAATATTAACAAACTAAATAAAAATTTTAATTAAAAAGAAAAAAAGCATAGCCTTTTCACCGTAGACTGGACTGTGCAGTCCACAGGACATAAAAAATGCAAGACAAAAAACTAAAGACATCAGCTTTTCACTATGGACTGCATACAATATAAAAAGATAAAATCGAAAGAAAAAAATAATGAGAAAAGAGAAAAAAAATCTGAATTAACTGGGTTAACTCGCCAAACTTAGGATTCATGTCATGAAAGTGTGATAACTAAATAGAAAAAAGATTTAATATTAATGAACTAAATTAATTAAAAAGGAAAAAGCGTGGAGAAAAAAATCTATAAGAAGAAAAAAACTACTGAAGAAAAAGAAAAAAATATGAAGTAACTGGATTAAATCATCAAACTTGGGATTTATGTCATAAAAACCTGATAATTAAAAAAAAATTAATATTAAGAAACAACAAACTAAAAAAATAAACTAAAGGCATAAGCTTTTTCATTGTGGATTGCACCATGTAATTTAAGGTAAAAAACTTAAAAAGAAAAAAAAATAAAGACATATGCTACCGGTTAATTTTTTTCTTGCATAAATCTATAAATCTCTATAAACCCCTTTAATTGAAATGCAAGCGAGTGTCCTTCCCAAGCTATAACATTACTTTATATATATATATATATATATAAAGCTAAGATCCAAGAATATTAGGTCTTTATGTAAAGATATACCCAAAAGTCTTGGGTCTACCTGCAAAGCTTGATCCAAAAATAATATTAATAATAATATTAAACTTATATGATTTAAGTTTAAATGAGTCTGACTACAATACTGAACTCAAGAGCATTGGACGTGGGTCTAGCTATAAGATCGTGTCATAAAAGCGTGATAATTAAATAAATTCATTAAGAAGAAAAAAACCAAGAGAAAAAAAAAAGCTAATGAAGAAAAAGATTGAGTTAACCCTTTACACCAGGTTAACCTGTCAAACCTGGGATTCACTGCATGAAAGTTTGTTAATTAAATAGAAAAAAATTAACGGGTTTACCCGCAATTAACTGGGTTAACCTGTCAAATCACGTTAACTTGTCAAGTCTGAGATACGTGTCATGAAAGTTTAATAATTAAATAGAAAGAAATTTAATATTAACAAATTAAACTAAATGAAGAAAATTGATTAAAAAGAAAAAAATTAGGTTAACTCACCAAACCAGACTAACCCATTAAACCCAGGATTTGTGTCATGAAAATATGATAATTAAATAAAAAATTTAATATTAACAAACTAAATTAAACAAAATTTTTTATTGAAAACAAAAAAAAAATAAAAAAAGAGAGAGAGTTCAACGTTTATTTACTTTTTAATATATATTATCATACAATATAATGTAATAATCATCATAATTATAAGATACTAATTATCATAATATAACTAGTTAGATAACTCGCACGATACCGCGAGTTAATTTTTTTAAATAAAAAATACCAAGAAAAAGCTAAGATCTAAAACTGTTAGATCTTTCTGCAAAGTTATATCCAATAATCTTGGATTTAGCTGGAACACCTGATCCAAAAGTAATATTTATAATATTAATAATAATATTAAACTTGCATGACCCAGTAGGTCTAGCTGCAATACCAAACTCAGTAGCCTTGGATGCGAGTCTGGCTGCAAGGTCATGTCATAAAATAGTGATAATTAAATAAATTAATTAAAAAAATCAATAAAAAGAAAAAAACTAATGAAGAAAAAGAAAAAAATGAATTAACTGGGTTAACCCGTCAAACCTTGGATTTATGTCATGAAAATTTGATAACTAAAAAGAAAAAAAAAAGACATAAGCCGGTTACTAATGAGGAAAAAGAAAAAAAATCTGAATAAAGTGAGTTAACCCGTCAAACTTGAGATTCGCGTCATGAAAGTTTGATAACTAAATAGAAAAAAATCAACGGGTTAAAAGAAAAAAAAGTAACAAACTAAACTAAACAAAAAAAATTGATTAAAAAGGAAAAAAATTGAAGTTAACTCGTCAAACCAAGTTAATTCATCAAACCCGAGATCTGTGTCATGAAAGTTTGATAACTAAATAATTTTTTTTCATATTCACAAACTAAATTAAATAAAAAAAATTCATTAAAAGAAAAAAAAACACAAAGAAAAAAAGTAAAAATAAAACCCATGAAGGCATAAAAAAGAAAAAAAAAACCTTTCAATTACTAATGAATAAAAAGCGTGGGAAGCTACAGTACTTTCCCCACACCTTTTAATATATTATTAATATATTAATAATGCATAATAATATTGGGGAAAGTCTAAAAGGCATGGGAAACCTATAGTAGTTTTCCCACACCTTTTAGAATATAACGAGATGATATGCCTACTACCTTATTAAACAAATGTACTTAATAATATTATATTTATGAATCAGTGCTAAATAAATAATAGAAACTAAAGGTATGATGAAACAAATATTTTATGATGAAAAAAATTTTGTGTTGGTGATATAAAACTTAGATACAAAACAAAATAATTTGTAGCAATGTACAGTGTTTTATGAGAAAAGATAAAGTATTTTCATCACATGATTTAGTTTTTTTGCTAATAAAAAATAAAAAAATACAAAGTTAAATTCTCTAACAACTTAATATTAAAAAAAAACCAACAAAGATAATTTTGAAAGGAAAAAAACCCATGACGAAAAATATTGTAGCAATTGATAATATTTTGCAAGGAAAACTATAGTACTTTTCCCAATAAAATAAAAAAATAAAATTATTTAGAGAAATATTATAGTAATCCACAATGTTTTGTGAGAAAAACCACAACACTTCCCTCGTATGATTTGACTTTATTGTAATTATAATTTTTAATCAACTCAATATTTTTTAAAAAAAATTGATAAAGATAATTTTGAAAAAAATCATAAAACAAATCATACGGGAAAATATAGCAACAATTCACAGTGTTTTAAAGAAAAAAATTATAAAGCCACATCCTTAATCAACTCAATATTAAAAAAAATTAACAGAGCTAATTTTATATAAAAAAACAAAACAAACATTAGAAAAGAGGAAAAAATCATATGCAGAGACACTGTAGCAATTCACAATGTTTTGTGATAAAAGCTATAATACCTCCCCACATGATTTAGCCTTATTTGTAATAACTTGTAATTATAATTTTCAAACAACTCAATATTAAAATAATAAAATTGACAAAGATAATTTGAAAAAAATTATATAAAAAAAATCATACGGAGAGACACTATAGTAATTCACAATGTTTCGTGAGGAAAGCTACAATGCTTTCCCCATATGATTAAGTTTTATTACGAAGTTAAATTCTAACCAATCAGTATTAA